CACACACACACACACACACACACACACACACACACACACACACACACACACACACACACTGACGCAAAAGGACCTGTTGGTTTGTGTCAAACGGACCCCGGGCTGATTGATGGAACCACAGGCGCTGTGTGGAACTGCAGAGTTCCGCCACACAAACAGCCAACGCCCCGCCTGATCAGAATAACATGTGCCGGAGTGGGAGTTGAAATAAACACATTCTGCTCCCTCCTCCAAAAAGAGAGAGAGAAAAAAGAAAAAAATAGTAATTATAATAATGAAAAAAGTGAAATCACCCTCACACATCCCCACATAATGGTTTGATCTCAGTCTGGTTTCTATTGGACCTGCCCCCCACCCTCCCCTCTCTCTGCAATGCTGCTGCAACCCAGCAGACGGTGAGACCAGAAGGAACGGAGAGGGGGAGGAGGGAGGGGGGAGAGATTAAGATTTTTTGGGGGATGGCTCTGGGAAGTCTCCCTCTCTATTTTTGTTACTGTTAGCTTTAAGGCCGGGACGGACTCAGACCTGTTCAAAGCCACTCTGACAGTCTAAAGCGTCCTGGCTTGGCCGGGCTCCTGTCTTTTTGCCATATCATGATCTCCTCAAATGCTGTCATCTTTTGCTCCACAGCACTGGATGTGTGTGTAAAAGAAAAGAAAAGAAAAAAAAAGATGTACTCATACGTTGATTTAAATTTGAGTCCCTTATTTTTGTATTTCAGTTTAGTGGATTCTCTTTTTTTTTGGCTCAAATAAATGGAGGTTGAATTATGAAAACCAAAAAGAAGCTTGTCTGTTAGGTCTTGTTTGACTAGACACACACATACAAACACACACATACACACACACACCATGCTTCACCCTTCATTTCCCACAAAGAATGTTTGAATCATTGATGTGTGAATACCTCCTGACCTGTCTCAAGCCTTTAATTGCTGTAATGTTTGAAGTATTTGCATGAAAAATGATCACTTTCATCATTTTCCATGCAGCTTCATTTTTTTACTTTACAGTGGCAAAAGCACATATCTTTTAAAAATCAATTCATTATCATGTGGATTGGTTAAGAAAACAAAGTAAGAAAGCGTTTTTTGTCATTTAGCAATGGCAAAAACGGTTTAAATTAAACAACTGTAAACAAAATTTGTGAATGGATGCTGACTTACCACGTGTGTTTGTTTACCTGTGGAAACAGCCAAAGCAACTGAGAATAGGTCAGCAATGATAACATTTGTGAAGAGCTATTTGAGATGGAGAAGACTTATTTTTTTATGTTTTGTGTGTATTTACACTCATATTCCTTGATTTAAAAATGTGCTTTTTTTACATACCTGCATTTCAGAAATACACATCTGGAAAACGTCTGAACCAAAGGATAATCTGTTACATATTTGACTCACAGTTTGCAATAAGTATTTGTCCTTTCAGTTGTTTAGTGTGGCACAAAGCGGTGTGCAGCTGTTTTATCCCTGAATTGATCTTTTTCTATGAGACAATGATATTTTCTCCTGTGATCCATCAGTTGAGTTTGGATCAATCACCTCATGAGCTTTCCTTGTCTTGCTTTAGTTCTTAATTGACAGGGGAACAGATATATTCGTTGCTCTGAGGTGTCTTTTTGTTGTTTCCCCCATTGATTGTGTGCATAAACTAATGGTGATTGTGTACGCTGCAGCAAATGAGGAGGTTTTGGAAAGATTACATTGTTTTTATTGGATCCTTGCCTTCAGCTAATCACAATCATAGCCTCGTGTTATTAGAGAGCTGGCATTTTGTTTCAAGCCAACTGATTTAGCTCAATATTTCATGTTTTCTTTTTGTTTGTATTTATTTATTTATTTATTTATTTATTTATTTATTTATTCTTTTTTTGGTCACTCATGTAGCAGATCTTGTATGAACAGAGCGAGCCCATGGCATAGGCAGTTTAGTCAAATGCAAAGGGCGCTGTCCTTCACGGGGGCACCACAAATGGGGCATGAAAAAAAAGTATGACTGTATTTTTGCTTAAGCATGTAGACTAAACACTGATTACTCAAGTTTAAGATAGTCACTCGTCCTACTTTGTTACCACATGAGGTCATATGGTGCAGAGGATATTTTTCAACAAAATTATCCAATGTTGCAGTCAAGACTAGCTACTGGTGCTCAGTGTGTACATAGAAAACAAAATAAGGATAGTGGAAGTTTCAGTTCTGATCTCAGACAAAGTTCAAGTTAAAGTCTGATCTTCAGTGTCGTACCTTCATAAAACATTGATTTTATGTTTTGTATTAATACCAGGAATTTAGTGAAATGCTCTTCAAATGGCTGGAAAATGCAGTTTTGAGTATATTATTTGCTAAATTTTTGTGTGAGTATACCCGTGCCCCCCCCCCCCCGCTTCACTCCGCAGCTGCTCATTAACATGAACAGGTGTTCCTCTTTGCTGTCAGCAGATGTTGAGAGGTATCAAGTAGATTTATGAGATTTTTTTTAAATATTTTTTTATTAAACAACCTGGTTTCTAAAGATAAAAAAAATACCAAAGTAAAACTATTTATACCTGAAATTTTGCCTAGGGCACCAAATTGTCTAGTGCCGGCCCTGGTGTGTGTGATTAGATGTTGTGGTATCACTGCAGAGAGGATTCAACACAGGATCAGGGGGGAGAAAACAAAAAACAAGCCTTTGAATCTAAAAATGTGCCTTGAGAAGAATTTTCTAGTTATTGACCTAAATACTTCATTCGATTGGCTTAGCTCTAAATGTATCAACACATTTTCCTCATTTGCATTCCTGACTGATATTGACACATATTTCAGCTACTTATCGTTAAACCAGATTAACGACAAGGTCATATGTAAAAAAAAAAAAAACATTAATGGGGGGAATGTGTGTGGGGTTGTGTATGGATGTCTGCAAATTGAATATAGTTATTTTTCTCTTTAACAAAACAGACCGAGATGAATGCTTTATGTAAATTTGGTTTCTATTGTTGTACCTACCATTAAATATTCGGGATGTTCAGGGCATTTCAAATAGGCTGAGGTTATCTCAGGTGGGTGATATTGTGTGTCTGTATCAGATGTCTTGTGCGAACTTCAAAAATCAGGGTATTGGGGCAGTGAGCATTACATGTTTTGTTTGGGCTCTGTAATTAATAGGACTCAGACACGTGTGTCTGTGTCTGTGTGCGTGTGTGTGTGTGGGTGGGTGTGTTGGTGTGCATCACAAAGTCAGCTTTAAGAGAGACTTTTACGTGCATACGTTTTGGTTCTGTAAGTCAGTTAACAAAGCATCAATAAGACCACTCAGAGTGTGTGTGTGTGCAGGTTTGCCATATGTCGTGTAAAAATCTACATCTTTGTATCCATCAGCAACAGTGTGGGAGCCGACGCTGTTACTAGGGAAACTCCAGACACTGGGCGCACTGTACATCCACTCAGGTCTGGCGTCTCCGTGTAGCTCTAATGCGCTGTAGCTGTTAGCCTGAACAGCTATTCATGTGTGACACATGGCAGGAAAACGCAGTGGCTCACAGGGGAGCTGCTATTGTTCCTTTGGCATGGATGCATTTAATTTACCCACAGCTTTTCGCTTTGTGTGTGTGTGGAGCCCAGCTTAGCTCGCTGCCAGCTTAATGACTGGTCTCAGAGGTG